TAGTTTGGGGAAATTCCCCCTTTCCTTTTCGGAAAAAAGAAGGTTTTTGAAGTTTTAAAACAAAATACATTTAAAAGTTTTTACGGTTATTAAAACAGAATTAAAAAATGAGCCAACTTTTTTGGAAAATGAAATAAGAAAAACTTATAAATTTTAATAAAACTAAAAAAAAATATTGCCTATTTAAATAATTACCCTAAAAAAAGTGTGTTACTTTAAACCCAAGGAAGGTGTTTGGTTTTGGGTTTTTTGCCCCTTCCTTTTTTTTCCCTATGTTTTAAAATAAGTTGTTTTTTAAATTAAACAAACCAAAGGGAAAGGGCCCAAAACTAAAGATTTACATCATTTAATTTAAAATTTTGCTGTATTGGGAATTTTCTCTCCAAAACCCCCGGAAAAGGCAAATTTATAAATTGATAAACAATAAAAAAAAAGGGGTAATACATTATTCAAAATTTAAAAATTTTATAAATTGGTTTTCCCAAAAGAATAAATGGTTTAAAAGGAAAAATGGGTTTAAATTTTTTTGGGGGTTTAAAAACTATGATTGGGAAAAAAGTAGTCATTTTTTTTAAATTTTGTTTAAAAAGGTTTAAAAATTCCCCATGTAAAACAGGATTTATCATTCTTTAAGGTTTTTAAAAAATAAAAAAATAGAAAGATTTTAAATTTTAAAATTGGGGCTAAAATTGGGGATTTTTCAAATTAAAAAATTTAAAGGAACTGCTTCTAAAAAACCCGTTTAAGTTTTTGGGGTTCCCAACAAAGATAAGGGGAAAATTTCATTTCTCATTAGGCCTTTTTATAAAAAAAGGAAAGGGTTTTTAAACCATTTTTTTTTTTTTTTTTTTTTTTTTTTTTAAAATACCAAAATCCCCCCAAAGTTATAGAAATTTAAAAGATACCCAAAAGGGAAAACCCGGGAAAAACTTTTTCCCCAAAGTGTTTGGTCAAATTTATTAAAACCCCCTTTTAACAGGGTTTTCCCCCCCATATGAGCTCCAGACCCGGACGGAATTTTTTTCCAAAGGGCCTGCTAAAAAACCAAAACCCCATTCCAGGATGGAAAAAGGGAACTTCAAAATTTTTATCTCAAAAAAATTTTCTTTTAAAGAGTTAAAAGGGGCCTGGGAGCGGAAATTTTACAAAAACCCCAAAACAAAAGGAAACGTCCAAAAGGTCGGGGTCAGTTCGGGAAATTTGACGGGTGCGCCTGAAAGGGTCCCCCAAAAAAAAAATGGTCCCGAACCTTCCCCTTTTGCCAGACCAAAACCCCCCGTCGTGGAGAAAACCAAAACCTCCAAAAAAATTTCCCCGATCCGTCCTTTGCCCAAGGGGAAAAAGGGGACATTTGGTTCCATTGGGGTCATGCCAAAAAGCAGCTGAGGAACCACGGGCCCTCACGGGCCCTTCAAAAAGGGGGAAGGGGAATCTACAAGGGGGCCCAAATTTGGGGGGGGCCGAGGGGGGGTGTCTTTGGGAAGGGGGCAATTTCAACAGGGGGGGCGGAAGAGGGGGGGTTGCATTTCCAGGGCAGGAAATGGCAGGGGATTCCTTGGGACCCAAAAAACCACTTAAATTTTTACCCCGGGGAAAAAATAAAAGGCATTTAAAAGGGGCCCAAAAAAAGGGGAACCCTATAATTTCCCCCTCCGGTGTCCTCTCTCCCTTTAAACAAAAGGGAGATTTGGCAAACCCTTTTCCTTAAACCCCCAAATGTTATAATTTTTGGCCCCAAAAACTCCCAATTTTCGTGAGCAAAAGGACACTCAGGTAAAAAACCCGAGGTTTACAAACCCGGAAAGGGGGAACGCCCGGGAAAGGGTCAGGGCTACAAGATCATCATTAACCATTAAACTTTCCCCTTTTTTTGCGTGTTTTTGTTTTTTTTTTCGAAACCCCTTTTAAAAAACATTCGTTTTTCTTTTTGCGCGTATTTTTTTGGATTTGTTACCTGAAAAAAGAATTCATAAAACCAAAAAAAAAAAAAAAAAGGATATTTTGTCCCTTTTTTTTTTTTGGTTAAAAAAATTTTTTTTCTTTTTTGGGAAGTTTTTTTATTGTTTCGTTAAAAAACAAATTGAAAATTTTTGTTGGGGAGTAATTTTTCTTTTAAGTTTTCCCGGGGGATTTTTTTATAATTTCCCAGATATCTTAAACCCCAAAATGGTTTTTCTAATTTTATACTTGGGCCCGATATTTCCCCATTGTTGGGTTTTTATCTATTGAAAATAACTGAGTTTTATGATTTTTTTTATGTTTTATAAGGAAATGTATTTTTTTGTTTTTGTTTTTTACTGGGTTAAAATTTTTGTGGGTTTTTACAGGGGATATTAAAGTTGGACAAGCCCCCAAAATAAAATTTGATAAGTTAATAATGGGGTTTTAGCTTTTAGAAAACATACCTGCAAATGGAGCTAGGAGGTTCTGTCTAAAAAGGGGACTTTATATAATTGGGCCTAAAAGTTTTAAGTTTTTTTAGTATACTAAATAATTTTTTGGGTTTTCCCTTATTAGGAAAAGGGTTTAAACAATTTTTTTTTTGGGGAAAGGGCTGGGGTGTCTCAGACCTCAAAACAAAGGGGCTGTTCTTGAAAGAAAAATGAATTTAAATTTTTTAAGGGCTTTTAAAAAAAGTTAAAACCTTTTTTGGGATGGTAAAAACTCTCCCCCTTTTTCAATATTTTTTAATGGGGTTAACAAGGTTGTGTTTAATGATTTAAAACAGGCTATTGGGGGGGTAAGTATTTTAAAAGCAAACCCGGCCATAAAATGAAATAAACTCCCCGGGGGGGGGAAAAACCGTTGAGCCCCATTTTGGAAGAGGTCCCGCTTGGGGTTTTTCCCCGAAGGCAAAAGTCTTCCCAGAATAAACCCAACCCGGGATGGGGTTGAAACTGAAACAGGAAAAAAGGCCCCCCCATTCCCCATTGATTCTGTGGAAGCTTACTTGTTTTTTTAGACCCTTAAAAAAAATTCTAAAATGCCAGGGCAAGCTTTTCCCCCCCGCCTTTTTTTGTTTAAAAAAAAAAAGAAGCCCAAAAGACCCCCAGAAAGTTTTGCCCGTAAATTAGGTGAACTCTAGGGAGGTAGAGATGGGCTTCTGGGGGGGAGGGCCAAGGGCCCCCTTATTTGAAAAAATTAAAAAAATTAAAAGGAAAAACTTTTTTTACATTTGAAAGTTTTCAGAAACAAATTTTTCTCTTTGCAAAACTCCTTTTTCCCAAAAATTTTCCCTTTTACGTCTTTCTTTCTTTTTCCCTTTTCCCCCCATGGGCAGGTAAAATTTAATTTTTTATGTTTTCTGTTGTTCCTGCCCTTTTGTTGGGTTTAAAATTCCCCTAAACTTTTTTTTCTTGTTGGGATTTAAATTTTTTGAAATTTTTGTGACTCCGCATGCCCTTTCTGGTTTTTCCTTGGGGAACACGCAGCTCCGGGCCCGGCCCCAAACCGGGAAAGGAAGAGAAAAAGGCCAAAAACCCCTTTTTTCCCAAAGGTTAACCCATTTAGAAAAATTTTCTTCCTTCCTTAACACTACCTTAATTTTTTAAAATACTGGATTTATAGCCAAAAAGGGGTGATAACAATTCTTCTGGCTAAAGCCACACCCCCCCCTCCAAACCCGACCTTGGGGCGGAAAAAAAATTAAAAAGCAAAAATTAAATTTTGAAGAAAAAAATTGGTTTTCAAAGAGACCCAAACCCCAACCTTTTCTTAAGGAGATAAAAAACCTTTAAATGCCCCGGAGAAAATTAACTGTAATAATTTTTTATCTTTTGGGGAAAGGGTTAGGAATACCCAAAAAATGTACGGATTGAAATATTAAAGTGTCCTCTCTAAACTTTTTTTTATAATTTTTTTTTTCTAAATCTTTTATAATTTATTTATTTTTTCTCAATTATGTATTTGTATTTGTCTTGGCTTTTGTAATTTTTTGTTTGTATTTATAAATCAACACGTTTGGGAAAGGAAACAATACAATATACAATATATGTAAACAATTTATGAAATTCTGTAAATAAATGGTTTATGCCTTTACCAAATAAAAAAACAACAAAAAATCACTTACAAATAAATATTTCAAACTTCTTTTATTTATTGCTGGAGAAAAAACCTTCAAATCATAACATGTCGCATCAAGTTCATCAAGAAGTTAAAGAATCAGTTATTCAGGTTTGCAGAATTTACTAAGGCTACGTTCACACTGCAGGCCTTAATGCTCAATTCCGATTTTTTTGTGAAATCAGATTTTTTTGCGTGTCCGTTCACACTTCCAAGTATATGCGACTTGTATGTGATCTAATGTGTGTACTGAAAGCGTTCAACCGAAGTGTCCCGCATGCGCACTCGAGGACGCGATGACGTCACATGTAGCAAGCGTCCTCAGTGTTTGCGGAAGTAAACATGACTCGTAATACCGCAGCGTATATTGCGTTCTTTAAGTTCTTCTCCAACAGGAGCAGGCACATTACGAACGAAATCTTTTTAAGAAGATCAAAAAGAAAGAGAGCCAGGTTCCGGTAAGACCCTTCGAGTTTGGTCTGAATCGAGCTACCTTTCCAAATATGAATTAAGTCAGCAACCTCACTTTCTCTCCATTGACTGCTCTCTGTGTTATCTTCCGCCATGGTTGTTAGTTTTTCCCACCTCCGCTTAGTAGGACGCAGATTAGTAACGTTTAGTAACATTTGTCAAGTATCAATGACGTGTAGGTCGGATGAATGCGACCTGGCCGTACAGACACAGGTCGCATTTGAAAAGATCAGATACGTATCAGATTCAGGACCACATATCCAAGTGGCCTGGGTCGCATTTGAAAAAAATCCGATCTGTGTCGTTCAGACTGTCATAAAAAGATCAGATACAGGTCACATATGGGCAAAAAAATCGGAATTGGGTCACTTCAGGCTGCAGTGTGAATGTAGCCTTAGACATAATAAAAGGTTTGACCAACAAAGGCAAATACATCAAGAGAATTGTTTTTAAGAATATAGCTTTTGTTATAAATGAGAAAGTCTTAATAATCTGTAGCAGGTCTCCAGTGTAAAATAGAAAGTGGACAGATTGAATTCTGTGGATCTTCAGTGACACCAGGTCATTAAGTCTGAAAGATTAGCTTGTTAATGAAGAGGTTGACAAAAAAAGTTCTCTACCCATCCTTTAGAATAAAAATAGATAAATCCCTTTATTGTCCCACTATGGGGATATTGTGGATTTTACCCAGAATGTAAAAGATGTTCCCTGACTTTTCATTCTTTAAAATTTCTCAGAGAAACATTTTAACCAAGCTGGGCCTTTTTTCTTAGACTCCACCCACTGGGGGTTTCTCACCAGCTCTACAGCTCCTTTCAGGACGGCTTCCTGGGGTCTTTCAGGAACCAGGACCTTATGCTGTTGTCCAAACTGATCAATGATGTGCTGATGTATTATCTGGTTCTCAGCCAACCCCCCCACTAACACAATAGACCCAATGCTATGATCTCTGTTAAATATTTGTCTGAGACTCTCAGTGATGCCCTGGAGACTCTCAGCAAAGAAAGACCTCAGTTTCTCTCTGGTGATTCTGATGGATCCATCATCATCCCAGGAAGCTCCATCTACTGATTCAAAGAACATTTCAATGTTTTTCTTTTTCTTGGCCAGCTCTACTAGGCTATATGGACATCTGATCAGAATCTCCTCATCTACCCGTTTTAAACTGGTAAAATCATGTAGCATCCTTTGAACCTCTCTCTGATATTTTTCTTCATATTCATCCCAGACTCCATCACAGAATATTTCTCCCAGAAATTGTTTAAATTTATTAAGCACATTTTTTCCCCCTTTTTCATTTCCGGGGAACTCAAACAGCTTCTGCAGGACTCCTCCTTCCAGGACTTCATGAGCAGTGAAGTCAATCGTTTCATCTGTTAACAAACAGTAAGAGAATAAAATTGATTTATGTATTCATTTAGGTAAAAATGTTTAATATCTAATATAGAAAAAGATCAAAATACATGTAGTTTTGTGTGTCCTTTGCAATTGTTCAGCTTTGTCTTTCTTTTTTCAATAATAACTTTAGACACTGCATCTGGAAAATTTTCACAGAGCTGAACTTTATGTCACACAGTTTATGTTTAAGCATTACTCAAAGTTGTGTTCAATTAATCTCTTTTAAAATCATACAAACTAATACCTATTAAAGCCCATGTGGAAAAATATTTTTGAGATTGCCACAAATTATAAAAATAGGAAACCAGTAAATCACATTTACAGACTTAATCCTTGTTTGGCTGCAATTACAGCCTTTGATGTTTTTCAGTATGATGCCAAGAGCTCAGCTCTCCTATGTTTATGTAGTTTTACTAATCCTTGTTTGACGTACTTCTCTATCAGTTTGGCTATGTAGCCATGTTCAGGTCTGAACTCTGGCTTGGCCTCTTCAGGTCTGAGTGGTTATAAAGCCTGTGAGATCTTGGCCATGTGCTTTTGGTCACAGTCCTGCTGAAACATGATCACTCCAGTCTGATATCAAGAGCAGCTCTGGAACAGCTGTTCATCCAGTCTGTCTCTGAACATTGCTGCATTCATCTTTCCTATGGTTTCCTTCTAGTCTTCAGTCCCTGCAGCTGCAAAACATCCTCATAGCATCATACTGCCACCACCATGCTTCTCTGTATGTATGAAGGCATTTCTTCCAAACATTGCATCTGGTATATACACCAAACATTTCAGTGTTTGTTTCATCAGAGTAGAGTAGAGAATTATTTCCTGGTAAACCCCTGACCGGCTCCCTCAAGCCTTTTCTCTGTTAATTCTACCATAGATGCCTGATTTGTGGATTGCTGGAGAGACTTGTGTCCTTCTGGAAGGTTTTCCACTCCCCACAGAGGAAAGCTGGAACTCTGGCCGAGTGACGATCAAACCGATGGAAACCGCATTGACAAAGGCTCCTTTCTCCTCATCATTTTAAACGGTCGGATAGATAGGAAGAACCCTGCTGGTTCCAAACGTCCATTTACCAACAATGAAAACCACTGATAACATCGGAACGTTCAAAGCGGTAGAAATGTTTGTGTTGGTTTCATGCTTTTTGTTTGAACTCTGACCTGTTCTGTCAACAGTAGGACCTTATATAGAAAAGTGTAAGTGTTTCCAAATCACCTCTAATCAGCAGCAAACTTCCATTTAAACTGTAGAAACATCTGAGGGATGATCAGTGGACAGAGCTCCATGTTGAGCTGTTTTCACTGCACATGTTTACCTAAAGGTGACTTCTTGGTTTTCTATTGTTTTTCATAAATCTGGAAACATCCCCAGAAAGATTTTCATTATGGGGAATTTATTTTTAGAATTTGAAGGAAGTAATTTGGTTTAATAGAATTTGCAATTAAGTTGTGATATAAACTGTAGAGTGGTGTTAAGATGTTGGATGTAATGTGTATAAATATTTTTAATATTTATACACAAACAAGAGTTTTTTTTCTTTTAAATGTTTGCTTTTTTTAGATATGTATAATGAAATATCTTAGTTATGAGCAAAGCTGAACCAAAGTCAACATAATGTTTGTGTTCACAAACAAATAAACCAGGTTATGAATGTGTTTGAATAAAAGTTTACCACATTTACCTCCACAGTCGACAACAACAACTCTTTTCATATTTGTTTTTCTCTTCAGCAGGTTTGCAGATTCGTCTGGTTCCATCTCAATGTTTACTGTCGCCTGACTTCTGGATGGGTCTGTAAAAAAACAAAGAAAGCGACAGGCTTGTTATCTGAAATATGCTCCCTGTTGGTGGTAAAATCTCCTTCTATGGCTGCTTCCACAGCAACACCACCAGTTTGCAACATAAGCTCTTCAGATTCTGTTGGTGCAGATTGCTCAAAGGTTTAAGGTAAGAACATCAAAAACAGCTTTTGGTTTAGATTTTACCCAACAATGAAATCAGTCACTCCCCCAAATAATTAAAAACAAATAGTGGGAGTACCTGCGCTAACATAGTGAGATGTTTGGAAGGATTTTAATATTTTTCGTTACTATCAACAAAAACATATTTTTCCAATTTGTTGTTAGATTTTTTGGAAATATGCCATAATGATGTAAAATGTCATATTTTTGCAAGAATTTGTAATCAGAAACAGTATAGTATGATAAGATTGATTATATTTTATTATATTTTATATATTTTATAATATAAAAAATTAAGACAAATAATTAATTTCACTACTGGGCTGCAAAATATTTATCTCACTAAAGCAGAAGAGATTCCTGCCAATGACAACATAGCAGTTGATAACTACTCAATCCACTGCTCAGGTAGACAGACTTCTACTTTTTGTGCCTCATATATCCATCTAGAAATTCACCCTGGAAAATTCTTAATCAGTTTTACCTGGAACACCTGCTGACGTGCCTCTCAAGCTTCAACCAATCAACGATGGTCTGTACTAGGGGTGTAAATAATAATCGTTTTGTATCGATGCATCGATCCAAAAGCCGACGATCCGATGCATCGACACGTCCGCAAGAGAATCGATTCATGTTTTTTTTCCTCCGGTCTATTTTTATCCATTTGCTCCTGGGCGTAATTCTCCCTCCCGTGCTGCGGTGGCACTAAACCTATTTTGCCCTCCTACTTCGCTTCCTGGTTATACTCTTACAGCAGTGTGTTGCAGTGAGCTTGATGCAGACATTTTTAAATTATGCTCAATATTGAAGCGTGGTCTGTGCTACACACTGTGGGTCTAGATACGGCCGAGGCGGTGAGGAAGTGGGGGCGAGTTTAGTCCGACGACGGAGGGACATGAGGGCAAAAAGAGCGGAGATTCAGCTGGAAAAAGGGTCCCAGCGTTCTCGCGCACCTCGCTCTTCTAGCGGGTCAAACTTCACGAGTTGTTTTCCGCAATTTCGGTCATAAAAACAAAACAAGCCTGCCTCCTGTCTGGTGCTGTTTGCGGTCAGCTACAATCTGGGAGAGGAGGAGCAGAGCGTCTCTCAAGGGGCGGTGACGTTGTCACTTCTTCTTCTTCTTTTTTTTAATGGCGGTTGGCAAACAACTTATAGGTGCATTACCGCCACCTTCCAGAATGGAGTATGGACCAGACAAACTATTATATTCTCCCTAAAATACCCGTTCTTCTTAGAAAATTAAAAATACTCCCAAAAACTACATCCCCAGATGACCTTTGAAACAATTCCCTTATATCTAGTTTATTTTTATTCCTGTCTAACTCTCTAGGCAACATCTCTCTTTCCTGAGTATATTTATTACATTCTAAAAAAATATGTTGGACAGTTTCTCTGGAGCCGAGGTATTGCATTGAACTCATTACACTGATATTGTGCAGTATTTTTGCAGTATTTTTTGATGCAACTTTTCTACTTCTGTTATTTGCTGTTGTTTCTAAAGAAAATGCATAATGATATTACAGCTTTCATTGATTTATTTCAAACTTGAAACTTTGTTTAGCCTCTAAGGTGTAAAAAAAAAAATTAAAAAAAAATTAACCAATTAATCGATTAATCGAATCGAATCGAATCGTGGTGTATTCTTGAGTATCGAAAATAATCGAATCGTTGGGTCAGGAAATCGATACTGAATTGAATCGCCATGATCGATGTGATTTACACCCCTAGTCTGTACCCTCTCCGAAGCCAGTCGATACTTAAGATGCTCTTCATTAAGACAAAGGCTATGATTCCCCATTCAACCAAACTTTGACCCACCTCCATCCCATCTCCTCCCTCACTCTTATAACCCTTTCCCACTGGCAGAAAAACCTGTTAAAACACGCTAACAATGGGCTTTCAGTGGCAGTGGAACAGCTTACTCACACGTGTCTACTCAGGTCAAACGACTCTGCAAGCATTAACCCTCTAATTACAGTGGAGAAGAGGTTATAGAGCATTCTTAGACCCTCTCATCCTCTGATTTATTCCAACAACAGTGTCTGGCCCCAGGGTGAAGTCTGCTCTAATCCTCTTCCTAAGTTATTCATACAAACTTAAGAAATCTAAGAGCAACATGTCTTCTACAGCTTTCCAAGCACCAAAGAACTTATTTCATTCATATAAATAATGTATTTCTAGGCACCTTTTTTCTCTGTGTGTGTTTGCAAACTCAAACTGTAACCCACTAATTAGTGAAATTTTCTTTTTTCCCTTCTGCTTACCTGATGCAGTATTTTCTTTTTCTAATCTAGAAAGGCCTCCACCTATGAGTGGGCATAAAGCCTCAGTGAATATTTGGAATATTAATTCCAAAGGTAAATGAAATGTTGCAGTAACTTATATGTTATTTTTATTAACAGTTGTTGCAGGTGTTGAAAGCAGCAGTCAGGAAGGATATTCTGTAGCAGTCTGACTTTCTCAAACCTTCCAAGAAGATCCCAAAACAACACCTGAAGCATTGTAGACTTTGATCATAAATACAGGATCAGAGTTTTAGCTGCTAACAACTGTTTTGGCCATTTTATTCTTTTTAAACTGAATTTTTTATGTAATTCCAGTTTAATCACTGATACCCTACTGAACAAATCAAATCAGTGAACATAATATACAACTGTAGACCTTGCAATTGTCACAGCAAACATTGATCAATGTGAACATAACAGACTTTAAAAGTAATCCGAACTGTACCTCCACTGCTGAGATCCGCAGGTCTTATTTCTGCAGACTGATCCAGTGAGTCTCTGCTGTGGCTCCCCTTGATGAACCTATCAGGAGGAGGCTTCAAACACCAGGCCAAAGCTGCTTCTGAGTCCAAAACAAATGTCAGTTTGCTTTTTGTTCCTTCAGTTACAAGAGCAGCCTAGAAGAAGAGAAATGAAGAGTTTCATTCTTAGGAACATTTCAGAACAATGCTGCTCTGTGAAAGCATGACTTTACCTGCATTGCAGAATCTTTTAAAAACTGTTTAGCTTCAGGACCCCAGCTGGCAGGAACATTCAGCACCCAGGTGAAGTCAGAGACTTCAAACTCTTCCACTGTGGCATGGGCTGAGATGGTGTCCAGAGCATCGTCCTTCAGATATCTTAGAACTTCTGTAAACACCTTGAAGGCCTTCATTGACTTCCCATTGGCTGCTTTAGCTGTCTGATTCACTGGGTTCTGAGTATATATATATATATATATATATATATATATATATATATATATATATATATAATATATTTAATATGTTAGACTGGTTTCACACACAGATTAAGTCGTCTGATTTAAAGAAGACTACAACCTAACATACTATCATACACTTTATGAAGATAATCAGAGTCAGTTAAGCTGTTGTTGCTACAATCACTTAGGCCTGTAATGTTCTTTGTACATCACAATTAATACTTTATCAGGAGCAGGTGTGGATGGAAGAATCTAGACAGAAGCTTGGGGAATGAGAATGACATAAGGGGCCAACAGAGGGCAAACAAGAAATACATAAGAACTCAAATACAACCAGAAAACACCACAAAATGGAAATGAAACAATGAAAACTCAAAGAGAAAACTGAAACAGAACCAAAACCATGAAAGTATTAGTATTGGTGGTACTGGCCCTGTTGGGATCTGGAGATCTGCCACCTGTCTCCAGCAGAGAGCGCTGTGGGGCTCCTGAGCTGGAGCCTTCTACACACCTGAGGATCATCAGCCTATCAGGAGACCTCCCTACTTAAGCAGCGACCAGACCTGTCTTCAGCGCCGGAGTGTTGACCAGTTTTGGTTAGCGGAACCTGAGCCTCAGCTTGAGCTAAGAATCTCTGTCTGCTCTAGAGAGTAACCTGATCCTAATCAGTCTCTGTTCTCTCTGCTCACAGGAAAACCCGACTGAACTCAGTAGCTCTGGAGGAGCTAATGTTTGGAAACCTGCCTGAATGCCCGATCCTCAGCCTGAATCTTCCAACCAGTTCTCAAGAGAGAACTAGAAGAACAACTCATGGTCTGAACCTCGCTAGCCTGAAGCTAAGCTCTGTCGCTGCCGAACTCTCTGCTGGTACCACAGTCTCTGGACCCAACTGGTTCCCTCTCTCTATTGAACAGTCTGAACCTCATCAGGTACAAACCAAGATCCAAAACTCTGCCAAGCTATCACTGCTGCCTGGCTAACCAAACTATCCCTCTCTACAGAGAGTACCAGAACCAGTGCTTTGATACTCTGTGTTTTTGCATCTCTTTAATAAACTGTTAAACTTTTACCCTGCTTCGTGTGGTGTTCTGCATGTGGGTTTAATCACAGAGACCCATCATGACAGGCCCTGTATTTACTAGGTATCAGATCAATACCAAAATGTGTAGTATTCCACATATCTATTGCAAATCCTGCACTGGCTTAGATAAATAATTCCAACCAACAAATAAAAAATCCTACACCAACGACCAGACCTTATTAAACACAGAACTTGATACAAGAAATACTGTCAGGAGTTTGGAACTTAGGACCCAATATTCAAGCAGACAGAACAGGGTGATTTCAAAACAAAAGTTTATAAAAAGTGAACATGCAGCTGCGATGATGGGGCGGATTTACTGGATACTCTGTAGAGATAGAAACTAAGGTAAGTGACTTTGAATCCTAGACGGGCCATGACTATGAGCATAAGTCACTAATCTGGTTCTGAGTTACTTTTAGCCCCGGAGCAAGGAGTTGAACCCAAAAGGGAGGTTTTTCCACTTGCAGTGGGAGCCACCCCCACAGTTCCAAGTTATGAGCAGAGCAGGCAGATAACTAGGAGCTGACGCCGAGTATCTGTGGGGGGAAATCCAAAGCTGGACTCATAGCAGAACCTGGTTACCGGACTAGAAGATCAGAGAACCAAGGAGGTACCAGAGGAGAATCAAAGCCATGGTCAGAAGACAGGCCCAAGTTCGGTTAAATCTGGCAGATCAGGCTAGCAGTGTCAGAAGACTCAGAACATAGGACCCAGAATTCAGGTGAGACAGACAGTGGTATATACAAAAAATAGTTTATAAATTAAGCGTGCAGCTGCTCGTCTGCTGCGTAGGGCTCACTGGAAACTCCGCAGGAGTAAAGGCTTAGGTCAGTGACTTCAAAACTCAAACTATGGATAATAGTCTTGTCCCGAGCAGCGGAAATCCTTTGCTTTTTACGGAGCTGGCACCAGAGATCCAGGAGAGAAGAGGAGCAGCGTCCTTCAGCAATCTAAGAATGCATGGGAGCTGAAAGAGCCAAGAGGGTAATCCAAACTGTGGTCAGAAGACAGGTCCAGGGTCGACACCAGGCGGAATCCAGGTAACAGTCCAGAACAAACAGAACAGGTAAACAGAGCAAACGGGGGATCGAAAATTTAGAAAGTCTGCAGGCAGAAAACAGATCAGGAACCGGCAGAACCAAACAAAGGGAAGACTACAGTTAGTCTTGCTAGAAAGCTTAAATAATCTGGGACCAAAGGCTGGGACCCAGAGGCTCAAATAGCAGCAGCATGTAATGAGAATGCATGGGTAGAGGGCGGAGAAGAGGACAGCAACAAGACAAATTTCCACTCTCTCGCCTTACCCTCCAACCATAACCACCATAAGGATGGTAAGGATTTTCCTCACCTCTGAAATCCTTCCTTCCATTTTTAAAACTGCAATAATCACTCCCAAACTGAAAAAAACATGGGTCAAATCCAAACAAAAAAATAACCTCTGCAACATTTTCTACCTGAATTAGCAGCTGCCTCTCAGATTCACTCCCATCTAATGCTACGTTCAGACCGCAAGCAGCAGGATCAGCTAAAATGCTTGCGCTGCTTCATTTCTGATGCTTGTACCAGTTTAGTTCAGCTGCGCGGTAGTAAAGTGGGTCTGATGCGCATTGGGCGGAGCTACCCTAACCTTTCTTTGCCTGGAACAATGGCAGATATATTTGCTGTGATCAGTGCGTTAAAAAGTAGTTTGAATCTATGTTGACCATAGCCCTGTGCATCAGCAGTGCTGTGTCTGTCTCTCTGCCATAAGCAGGTCCATATATTGGTAGATTTTGGGGAACAACTTCCTTCCATCAGTTAGAACACTGAAGATGGATGGAGGCTGGGTCTTCTAGCATCATAATGAGCCGAAGCACAGCCAGAATAACCAAAGAGAGGCTCTGGAAGAAGCAGATCTAGGTTCTGGTGTGGACTAGCCAGTCTCCCAACATAAACCCAACAGAGAATCTTTGTAGGGAGCGCTAACTCCGTGTTTCTCAACCCAGAAACCCAACTGATCTAGATAAGGTCTGTGTGGAGGAGTGGGCCGAAATCCCTCCTGCAGTGTGTGCAAACCTGGTGAAAACCTACAGGAAATGTTTGACCTCTGGAATTGGAAACAAAGGCTACTGAACCAAATATTAACATTGATTTTCTCAGGTGTTCAAATACTTATTATCAGCTTTATTATACCAATAAATAGAAAAAAAAACATAAATTTTGATTTATGTTTTTAGAGTATGTATATATATATATATATATATATATATATATATATATATATATATATATATATATATATATATATATATGTGTGTGTGTATAAGTGTATATTTAAGCTTCTGAATATCTTTTGTTGTATTCTATTTGAATTAAATTGTTAGATATTCAGCTTCTTTTATTTTATAAATTAATTATTCTCCTTTGTTCTGAAAAATTATTTTCTTTATTTATTTATTTGTTGCTTGCTTACCATGCTCCTTGCTCACTAAAATAGCCTTTATTTTCTTTTTAATAAAAAATAATATGTATTTAATTGGCAAAGAAAGAAAATAGAATATGGGGCTGGATGTATGAGCACATTGGCTGCAAAACCAGCAGTTTTCTCTCTGCAGGAAGACGTTCCAGAGGTAATTTCCCAGTCAGTGGATGAACTAAGCAATAAATCCATCTATAGCCGACGGATCCTATAGTTTAGTCTGAAGACTAACATTAGTCTGGCTATCTCAGACTGACTGGAAGACATTGGCTGAGTTAGCTGGAGATAGGCAGCAGCACCCCTCACCACCCCAGCAGGGATAAGCGTGATGGAAAATCGATGATTGAAGTAAATAGAAAGTAATTCACTGTGAAATGTCAATGTAGTAATTCTTTGTTAAATGGATGATGCTGTCGTTTTTCTAGTGTTTGTTGTATTTCTCAATGATGATTAAAATTAATGCATGTGTGCTTATGAAACATTTGAGCAGGGGATGCTCCATCCTGTCTTGTGATTCAGTCAGGAGACAACCCTGCCTTGTGATTCAATAGAAATAGAAGACATTCAAACAGGAAAAAGGTTGCATGTTTTTGTAGTAATATCACCAACTCACCCCATTAATCTGTTAGGGTGAGACTTGATGGAAAATTAAGCATTTCAATTTTCCCCATGCTGGGGGGAATGAAGGCTGTACGAATAGAACATGTAATGGTGTTACTGTAATGTAATGGTGTATCTGTTCCAACTATGGAAACAGCCTTATAAAATTCTGTTCGATGTAAAACCCCAGGTTCAAGATTTAGCATGTGTTAAAATAACTCAGCATTCTTTGCTATCACAATTTAATGAAAATGATTTCAAAGATATTCCAAATGCTTTGTGGTCTACAGGAAAAATTTACGTAGGTCTGTTGACAACTGTAGATCCAGTTAAAATAGTTCCTAAATCACAATACAGGTCAAAGATAAAACAATATCTGCTATAATGTGAAGCAAAGGAAAGTATAAATCCAGTTATAAAATTTTAGCGGGTGCAAAAACAAGTCTGTTGCTTGGGCCATGTTATTTCAGAAGAAGGTAAAAAGAAGAGTTAAAAACTAATAGCTAGAGAGCTAAGCCAGTAACTAAATAACAAATGTCTTTTTTAGAATTGTGCAATTACTGCAGGGCTTAGAATCCACATTATGAGAAAAAAACTCAGCTTTTCTTAAGTTTTTTTTATGACAAACCAATAGCTATGTCAGAGACAATCTAATGGACCCCAGGAGCAGAACAGCAATTCACAAAGCTACAAGTAGAACTTTTCTCAGCAACTGCCTTAGCTCTACCAAATTATCAAAAACTGTTCATCCAAACAGTTGATGGTTAAGCAAGTTATATGACCGAGCTGTGTTGCTAAAGCCTCATGGTGATAAGCTCAAACCTGTAGTGTCCTACTCTTAAGGGTTAAAGG